ACCATTATTGATTAGATTTTTAATATAATTAACATAGTTTTTCATTAAATCGGTATCTATCCACCCATTTTGTTAAAACCAAACAAAAATACCAGATGGAATCTGTTCACCGCGTGGTAATTGTTTGCCCTTAAAAATACAAATTGACAGAAATTTGGTTCCATCTATATAATTTAAAATATTGTTTAATAAAAAAGTTTACCATAAAAAACCAGATTGCACCGATAACTACCCTTGAAAATATACCTACCTGCGGCACACGTCAAAATGACGGTAAATTAGTTTTATCATTTCTAGTTCCACAGATTTGAATTGTCTTTTTGCCTATTTGATCAATGGTATAGTTTCCCGCCATATCAAACCAGACGGGAGTTTCATCCATATTTAAAATGTTGGTCATTTCATAGGACTTTTTAGTTTAAAGTCAGATAATATATTGTTGAAAATTATTTAACAATTCATTGGTTTGTGCAGAAAGCTTTTGGGAAATTTTAGTATGCCGCCGCTGAGATAACCTGTATCTTTTCATAAAACTAGACATCCAACGGCTAGATATTTAAAAATCTACAGAATTGTCATAAATGCTTATTATTTTCAGTTTCCTTAGAATTTCCAACATTTTGATTTGTACAGTTGTATAAGAAACACCTAATTCTTTTTTCCTTTGTTCCATAATCCAATTGTAAAGTTTTTTTTCCGCTTCAGGAAAAAATTCTTTCCTTTCAGAACCAATTTTTTTAATATTTTAATTCTTTCAGACCATTTTTTGCTTGCTTTCATCCATTTACCAACCATACTACTATCAAGTTCAAAGTGTCTCGCAGCTTCATTTCTTCTATTTTTTATAGTATAATTGACAACATGTTGCTTTTTTTTCTATATTGCGGCAACATTTAATACTTTTAAAACGTTTAACTGCTCTTTTCTTTCATTGCAACGCCTTTTTTTTCATTATGGTATGTTATACAGAACAATTTAAAAAATCCAGTTTTTGAAAGTTCGCGTGATTTATATCACATTGACGCGTTGAATCTGTATTTTAAAATAAATTATATTACACGCAAATCACAAAAATTACGAAATTTTTTGGCGATCTAAATTTTATTAAAAATTGTCTGAAAATAAGAACCTCTATAGCAAAAAGGTGGCTTATTTTCAAAATAGTATGGTATTACTAAAATAAGAAAATCATAATATTTTCTTATGTAAAATTAACTTTTTTATACATGATTTATCTATTCTTAGTAATAATTTGTGCACATTTTATGTTGTGTAATATGTGTACACAAAAAATTAATGTGCATATATACATATTTTGTACATAGATTTTACACACTGAAAGAAAGAATAGTAAATTAATAAATCTATTTAAATAAATATCAACTAATTATTCTAATTCTAATTATTTCTATATTATTTAATAACTTATTTATTTTCAAAAATTATACTTTATTTTCTACTTCCAATAATTAAATACTGAAAAGTAATCAATAGTTAGATAAATGAAAATTAGAATAGTAAATAATAAAAAAGTAAAATCCTATCTTCAAATATATTTTTTAATAGATAATGAAAATAAGGTTGAAAGAATGTTACTAATGATACTATTTAAAATCTATTTTAACATATTACTTAAAAATTTAGAACCTTTTTCAAAACCTTTAGAATAACTTTTTTTCTTAAATCTAAAACTTAATTAAACTTAATTAAGTTTAGGAAAATCTATAAAAAGTTTTTTTTTAAAATGTGATAACTTTGCATAATCTTTATTAAATATAAGTAAAATATAAAAATTACAAAACAAGAAAAGAAAATACAAAAAATCCTAAATATTTTACTCTAAGTTAATATAAGTAAAATTTAACCTTGCATCTTTTTAGATTAATAATCCAATCAGAAGAAAAAAAAGTCAACAATCCAGAATGTGTGATCTGATTGCTACCTGTATAAAAATTTGTCCAGTCTTTATTATTTTTAAAGGATGAAATAAAGAAGAAAGAGATAGTTGAAAAAGAAGATATTAAAAGTTTAGGTAAAGATATTTATTATAAACAAATAGTTTAATTTTAATTATCTTAAAACTCAAACTTTCTAAAAATAGTTTAGGAAGATATCTTTAATATTAGTTAATAAATGGTATAAAAATTAAATAAATTAGTAAAAAAAGATAAAATATAAGCTGATGATATATATTTTACAAATAAAAATAGTTAAAAATTGAATTTTACAAATCTCTGCAATTTTAAAAAACAAGTAGCTGTTGATTGAGTTGATTGAAGATATGATAAAAATATAATAATAAAATAGTCAAACTGAAGTATATTTGTTATAAATAAAAGATCAGTATAAAAACTAAACTTAAAAATTTCAGAAATCTGATTATAAACAAATATAAAAAAAAAAAAATTGATTGTAAAAATCAGAATTTAAAATAAATGTTTGATCATATTTATTAAATAGAAATTTTAAAATTATAATATAAAAAATTTGTTTACAAAGTCATTAGATTCTATTCTTACAGCTAATTTCATAATTTGTAAACTACTAATAAATTGTGACTGAATGTGACTGAAAATATTTTATAATAAAATTACTATAAAATATTGCGACTGAATGTGACTGAAAAATTATTAATGGTCCATGAATTATGAAATTAGCTATAATGTAAATAAAAAATGTATATTAATATATATAAATTTTTATATATAAAGTAAAATTGTAATCTGAATATAAGTTTTATATTTTAAAATTTCTGATATTTAAAGTAATATTAAAAAAGTTCAAAAATAATTTTTTTATTCAAAATAAATCTTGAATCTATGAAGTTGATTAATATATTTTCATTGATTATAAAAATAATTTTAGCTATTTTACATAAAGAACAGATTTTTACAATTTTTAATAATTATATAAAAATGTATTAATGTTAAATTTGAATAATATGGGAGCTTTGCTATTAAAAATATGTTTTAGAGACCTTTCAACAAAAAATGAGATTTTGATTCATATTACATATAGTATACTAAATGAACTTTATTTGGTTAAATTTTTAGAGTCTATTAGCTTATTAATAAAGCAAGTAATTAAGGCTAGCAAAAATGCTTAAAATTAGTATAATATTATTCAAAAAATTTAAAATTAGATTTTTATGTAAATTTTAGACATACTTTGGAAAAAATAATTATTATATAATATTACCTTATTAATTGATTCGACCTAATATATATATTTTTAATATTTTTAGTACAATTTTTTATTGGACAAGTATGTTTATTGTGACATAACTATTTTTTGATTATCATTTAACTCAAAATCAATTTATAGTCTCAGAACCTACTTTTAATAGCAAATTTAGTATATAAAAGTAAAATTAATTTTTTCTAGCAGTTTTTATCTTTTCTATTATAAAAATAAAAATCCTATATGATTTACTATTTTTATAATAATATTAAGTACTAATTCACAGGTTGTCAATTAATAATTTTAATTAACTTATATAAATCTAATTTAAAATTTTAGAAATATATCAATTCTGATTGATTTAATTTGATTTTTTTAAATTAAATTGAATTAATTCAAAAATTTATAATATTTAACTTAAATTAAATTAATTATTTTAATTCAATATAAGCTATTTATTTATAAAATTATAAAATCAAATTGCTTATATTAATATTACTATTTAAAATCTATTTTAATATATTGAAATTGCATAAAAATTTACGAATCTTTAAATAAATTTTTCTTAAATCTAATACTTGATTAAACTTTATTAATTTAAAAATTGATTAGAAATGTTATTTATTATAAAGAAATAATTTAATCTCAAATTCAAAAATTGTTTAAAAATAATTTAGAGTATTATCTTTATTTAAAACTATATATTTATTATATATAATTTATTTAAATTTTTAAATAAGATAAATTTGTAACATATTATTAAATTTATTTTAAATATGAATATTTTATAGTAAAAAAATATATAATTTCAAAAAAATTAAAATTCTAATTTATATGTTAAATATAATTTTTTTAATAAAATAAGTTTAGATTTATGCAAAAAATTATTGTGATCCTAACATAATAATGTAATAATTAATAAAAATTTTTGTTTAATTAGAATTTCTTATTTTTTAATCTTAAAATATTTTCTAAAGAATTACAAATTTCAAGGCTAATTACTAATAAATATCAAACTTTTAATAAAACAAATGATATTTATAATAGTAATATTAATTTAATAAATTTTTTTTTAAATTTCATATCTTCTACTGTAAAGTATCAATATAAATAAACTTTATAAAAATATTAAATATATATTATTATAATTGGTAATATTTTTTAAAACTCAAATTCTATATTTTAACTTTATTAAATTAATTTAATTCATAATTAAACCTAGTTTAATTAATAGTAAAAACCATTAAATCTAGTTTAGTTAAACTGAAACCAATTAATTTTCTGTAGTTCAGAATAGCATTTTCATATGTAATATATAATTAAACTAAATAATTATATAAACTATTTTTTTAATACTTTTGTAATAAAATTATTTATATTTAAAGTTTTTGATTTGAAATTATAATTAGAATAAATATATAAATATATATTAAAATTATTTTATTATAAAACTTAATTATATTAAACATTATTTTATTGGATTTGTATTAATTCATTTTTACAAAAATTGCTCTAACCTAGTAGCAAAAAAGGATATACTAATATTTATTAAAAAGCGAAAAAAGGTTGCCAATAATACGGGATAAAGCGAACAATACGCAGCAATTTGTTACACACAGAGTTTTTACTGCAATACCGCAACAATAATTCAAGTCGTGCTTATATATATATATATACATATTTTTTAGATAATCCTCTAAGGAAAAGAGTTAAGAAATCTGGGTTGGAAAAATCAAAGTGGTCTTTTTTCGTTTCTGTTCCCATTTAATTATTTGTTTTTACTTTTGAGTTCTTTTTTATTGCATCTTCCCCCTTTTCTCATGGACGAGAACAAGTCACTACCTCTCCATGTTACAGGAATACTCATTTATCGTATACAAAGACAAGTTGAATTTTTATTTTTAAACGATACTTTTTCTCACAAAAAACATTGGACCGCACCGAAGGGTACAGTAATTCGTCAAGAAGACGAAGTAAAGTGAGTCTTATATTTATTTTAATAATGGTTTAAAACTTGACTTTTTTTAAATCTTCTACGCGCGTTATCTTAGAATTTTTTCCACGCATTTTCACGTTGAACTGATCTTTTCCCTAATTTAATAAAGTTCCTCTTTAATTTTCTTCAAGACGATTCGAAATGATTTCTCTCAAAAAGATTTGATCTGTAAAAATTTTAAATATTAAGTTACTAAATTTATTAATTTAGATGCGCTCTTCGTAATACTATTGAAATAACTGGTCTTTCCGTAAAAGATTTAAGAATAGAAGAAGATTTTAGAGCTGAAATAACTTATCTTTCCGGAACGCGGTAATTATTTATCTTTATAAACTGATAAAACTAAATAAAATAAGGAATATTGAATAAATTTTTACACGATGATTTATATCAGACCCAAACGAGTTGTTTATTATCTTGCACAAGTATCAGATCATGCTCGCGTTTATACTACTGGTGAAGGTCTTAATATCGCGTGGCTATCTATTAATAATGCCATGGAAAAGGCATTATATAAAAGCATGCAAGATGTTATCAAAAAAGCAACAATTTTTATTGAAAACAATAAACCTCCTAAGAATACTGAATCTTTACAAAGGTCTAGAATTGATAAACATCAAATCACCGGCGATAGGTTAGATCATAAAATGAAAAATTTAAATTTGGCTTTACCTTTAGATTCTCAACGTCAAGCAATGTCTGAACAAAGACTTAAGCTTGTACGTAAACAACAACGTCAAAATCAGAATCAATCCGAAAAGAATAGTGGAATTGTAAATGGAAATGGAAATAATGGTGGTAATGGACCAAATAATGGATTCGCATCACCACTTCACTCCCCTGTTATGCAATTTGAAAACCCACTTTATAAAACAAGATTGTGTGAGCGTTTTGAAACTGAAGGGTATTGTCCATATGGTCCCAAATGCACTTTTGCTCATGGCACCGTTGAATTAAGAGAAAGACCGGCAAATGCAGAGGAGAAGATTGATACGCCTCCTACTGCAAAAGATGGCCCTGATAATCCTTTATATAAAACTCGTTTATGTGAAAGATTTATGAAAGAAAGTTTTTGTCAGTATGGGCCTAAGTGTAATTTTGCGCATGGGGAACATGAATTAAGGGATAGACCAAATAATCCCGCCACGAGTAATCCTCGTGGAGGAGATAATGGTGGTGAACGCCAATCTCCTGAACCTCATCGTTCTATTACTAATCAACAACATTCTTCTCAACATCAATCTGAACAACATCATCATGGTCGTTATCAGCATCCACATCATCAAGCGCGTCTTAATGGTAGTAATAATATCGAACCTGAAAGGAGGACTGTTCCCGTAAGTCCCGGAATTGGAGGAGGATTTCGTTCTGAAATCCAGAATGGTATTTTAGGACGTATTCCGATTATTGCGAATTCTGATTCGCATTCTAAAGTACATAACAGGTAATTCATTACATATAAATTTTTATTTTTTTTTTAAAAAGGGGAGGTTAACATAATTAATTATAATATAATCAATCTCGTAAGTTGCAAGGTTAATTAATGTGTAATATAATGTTCAATTATCATCTTAATTAGATGTATATTTGTAATATATCATACTTATTGTATTATGTATGACAGGCATCAAAGCCTATCACATGTAATTACTATAATATACTTCTTAAGACTATTTGTCGTTCTGTCTTTTTAGTGCTCATGTAGAAGAATCAAAACCCGAAACGCTTGAAGAAGATAAAAAAGTGGAAAGATTTCCTGAAGAAAATAGAGAGGAAGATGAACACGAGTCCAAAGAAAAACATAATGAATCGAAAGAAAATGATGAACATCGTGAGTTAAAGGATAGTAAGGATTTATCCGTTACCCCTTCCACGGTGTCTTGTAAACCCATAAGCGGCTCTAAACGTCGTTCTGGAAAAGATATTATCAGTGTGGATGAAAAGGTGATTTATTTGTATAAATGTTTTCAATTACAATTATAAAATACTTACTCTTTCACTTATTAATATAGCCATGGATGCAAGTTGTTGAACTGTCTAATGTTGAACTAGAACAACTAGGAAAGATGTAAATATATATAGATAGTTGGTTATTTCTCTTTTCTATGAATTAAGTTTAACAAATGCTTTCTCTTAACTATATCTTAGTAAAAAGGTAGATCATGCACCTTCATCCGATAGTAAACGCTCTCATGATGATATTATTATTGCAGATTTGAAAAAATTTTTTGTTCAATCAAGAGAACAAAATAAATCAATATCAGATGAAATTAAAGAAATTACATTAATTGAAACAAGAAAAGATTTATCCAAATTTCAATTATTTAATGTTTTACTTCCAAGTATGTATGATGATATTTCATGGGATGTTGTTAATAAAGATTTAGTACAAAAAGAAAAATTATTTAAAACGGTATGAATTCCTTTTAGTTATCGCAATATTTTCTATGAATTTTATTATTAATATTTATTAACATATATTTATATATTTTATATACTTTTAAGTTTATTCGAGGAAGCCAAGATCAAGTTACATTTTTAAGATCATGGGAAAAATATTTAAATACACGTAATGTTAAATTATTATCGAAGGCTGCTTTACTTTTTAAATCTTTTTATGATAAAGATTATGTTGAAGAAGATTCTGTATTGGAATGGTATAATCAAGCTAAGGATACTAGCGATGTAAAGAAAAGATGTGCTGTATTTGTTGAATGGTTAAAAAATGCTGAAGAAGAAGATTAAGGGAAATATTTTTGTTCTTTATTTGTTAATTAGTTTATTTTTTTTCTCATGGAGAAACTCAATTATTATTACAATTATTATTATTTATTAATAACATTATTAAATTTATATTTTAACTTCATTATATATTTAATTTATTTTTTTTTGTTGTGAATTTATGTATTCCTTTGTGTTTACCATCAAGTGGATGAATTGTAGATTTCCACGATAAGCAATTACACGTGTTTCTTCCCCCTAAAAAATAAATTAATAAATAATTTATACATTATCTAATTCATCACATTTTATTGTTCTACTAATTACTAAATAATCATTCAAATATATTCTATTTTTAATTTTTTTATTTACAATTACGTAAAATTAAGAAAGTGTTAATTACATATTAAATTTATTTTAAATTTTTTTTTTTCATTTTGCTAATTAATCTAATGTTATTAAATTTATAGGATAAAATTTTATAAATGTTATTTTGAAATATTACCTAATATACAATATCCATAACAATCCTAGAAGTCTTATCATTTCTAATAAATCTTTTAAGAAATGAGTTCATAATACCAACATTTTCAATCTTCATATACGCCATCCCTAGCAGCACGCCATAATTCATCGTGTATAATTTTGATTTCTTTCTCTAAATGCGAATATTTGTGCATTAGTTTATTGGCGGAGGAACCTTCTCCAAATTGCTTCTCGATCTCCCTTAAAGTCTCTTGCGCGAATCCCTTTTTTATTGAATTTAAGAAACTATTATAGGAATTTTCGAATCCAACTAGATCCTCAAAGACCTTTTGGATTTCGTTTTCCATATCTTCACAAAATTTTCGTGCATGCTTAAAATCTTTAAATGTATTTATTGTTTGTCCAGGCTTCCACTCTGATGATGATACCGATTGTCCATTTTTTTTACTTCTTCCTTTATCTTTCTCTTTCTTGCTAGAAGAAGAATTAGTTCCTTCAGACATTGATTGTTGTTCATTATCATGCTTAATAGTAACAGATGGTACAGCAGACTTAGGAGCTGCTGAAGTTTTGATTGTGGAAGTGTAGGTCTTTGTATTTCGCGATGTCTTATTTGGAACACCAGCAGGTCTTCCCCTCTTTCCTCGAGTAGCTGTCGTTGACTGCGCAGGAGGCACATTTACTTTTTGTGCGTCAAATGCTATAGTTTTCGCACCTCGACCACGTGTTGATTTTCCACCTCTGGTAGTTTTTCCGCCTCGAGTCGTGTTACTTCCTCGAGCGGAAGTGTTCGATGCTGTTGATTCGGTAACATTATCATCATCGACTACTTCTGGGATTATCCTGGGTCTACCACCCCTTGCCTTGCCACGAACTGCTTTACCGCCGCGAGCTGACTTTGTATCATTTGAAGGCTGCGGCGCAGCTCTGCTGTGAACAAAAGTCGTCGGTGGAGAATGTATTGCTTGCTGGACCTTTATTGAAGATCCAGCGTTATTCTTTTGACGTTTGGACTTTGCCTTTACTTCTTCAGGAATCTCATCGAAATCGAGAACTCGTACTCTAATTAATAATCGATTTGAAATAAAATGAATTAATAATAAATAATGGAATAGAAAATGGTTGATAAGTCAATTACTTACTTTCGTTTTTCCTTTGATTCTTTCTCATAACTTGCCTTTAATAATTTTTTTGCATCGCGTTCTTTCTTGACGGCGTTATGTGATTCGGCCGTATTTTTAGCGTACCTAACAACCTTGCCAACCAGCCCGACGCTGTTTTCATTTCTGAAGAAAGCCATCTCAGACTTCTTATTATATCGAGAAAGATCTAATTGTATCTTCTCGCTTTCCCCGGTGTCAATTTCCTATTTAAAAGTTTCAAGCATAAAAATTAATAAAATAAAATAAGCATCACAGATTATGAATCGTATAAATTGAAAATACCATTTTGTCAGATATGTTTATTTTCATATGGGCACCCTTGGCATTTGCTGTCATCAACTTCATGAAAACCGCATTTGATAAAGTTACTTTGTAAACCTTCTTTTCACCATCAGACGGCAATACAGGCCATGGAACGTTAGATATAGATGGTAAAGGTGGAGTATCTTTCTTTTCACTTCTTTTCTTCGAGGCAGTTTTTTCTGCACCGCCATCCTTAATGCGGAATAATGGGTCCCTTCCTTTTCCACGATTCGTTGGACCCGCACGAGCTACTACCGCACTTCTATTTGGCGAAGCACCTCTTACGCGAGCGCCCGCTGTGCTTCTAACGGGTGAAGCACCATCATGAGTTGACAGTGTGCCTCTAGAAGTTGAAGCAGCACCACGACCCGAAACGCCACCACGATGTTTACCTCCACGGGTTGTTCCTCCACGAATTAAATTAACCTTCTCCATTATAAAAAAAAGAAAAAAAATCTATTTTTGCTACCTCATTCAGATTTTAAATAGAATAATAAAGAAACTAGTTTTTTATGTTCGTAGATTAGGAACTTTTTTAAAAAAAAACTTGATAAAGAAAGGGTTTTGAATTAGTTTTTTTAGGGTTATATGGTTTTCTTGATAAATTAAATGATTATTATTATAAATTTATTTTATCATAATAATTTCTTTAAAAAACAAAAAAATTCTTTTATTAATTAAATTCATATATATTTAATTTTAAATGCTAGTTAAACTTTAGCAGCACAGCAGAAAGAATTTTTTGGGGGCCGATTTGATGGTAAGAATTATAATATAAGAGTTCGCTTTTTTAATTTAATCATAATTAACTATATATAAAATTATTTTAACCTCCCTACCTAGAAAATAGATCATTAATAGCGTAGTATAAATGGCGCAGTATTGATCGACATTGTTAACATATATAGCATTTAAAGTAGATAAAGATAATTTTTTTCTTCGTAGTCGCCGGGTATAAAAAAAAAAAAAAAAAAAAAAAAATTTTTTTTTAATCAAAAGTAATTTTATTCAAAAATGTCAACCATGTCAGAACAATATGAAGGTGCTATAGGAATCGACTTAGGGACTACCTATTCGTGCGTTGCTGTGTGGGAAATCGAACGCGTGGGTAAGTAGTAATAGTCTGAAAAAAAAAAAAAAATTGTATTATAAATATTGGATAATTCACTCTCCATCGTTATTTGTAGAAATTATTGCTAATGAACAAGGGAACCGTACAACGCCTTCATACGTTGCCTTTGCCGATTCTGAACGTCTTATTGGAGACGCTGCTAAAAACCAGGCGGCTATGAATCCTAAGAATACAGTATTTGACGCGAAACGTTTAATAGGTCGACGTTTTGATGATCCAGAAGTAAAATCCGATATCAAACATTGGCCTTTTACTGTTATTGAAAAAGATGGTTCTCCTTTGATTCAAGTTGAATATCAAGGCGAGACGAAAAACTTTACCCCACAAGAAATATCATCAATGGTATTAACTCGTATGAAGGTATAATTAATTTACTTTATGTATATATAATAAATCAAATTTTATGAATAATCTTTCATGATTTAAAATATTTGATTTACAGGAAATTGCTGAAGGAAAGCTAGGGAAGAAGGTTAAGAAAGCTGTTATTACCGTTCCAGCTTATTTCAATGATTCTCAACGTCTCGCCACCAAGGATGCCGGGAAAATTGCAGGGTTAGATGTACTTCGAATTATAAATGAACCAACTGCTGCAGCTATTGCTTATGGACTTGATTCTAAAGAAACAAAAGAAAAGAATGTTTTGATTTTTGATTTAGGCGGTGGCACTTTTGATGTATCTCTTTTGAATATATCTGGTGGAGTTTTTGCTGTAAAAGCAACCGCAGGAGATACTCATTTGGGTGGTGAAGATTTTGATAATAATCTCCTTGAATACTTTAAAGGGGAATTTAAGCGTAAACATAAGTGCGATATTTCAGGTGATGCACGTGCTATACGTCGTTTAAGAACTGCTTGTGAAAGAGCAAAACGTACTTTATCTTCACTTACCCAAACCGCTGTTGAAGTTGATTCACTTTATGAAGGGATTGACTTTCAAGCTAATATTACTCGTGCTAGATTTGAGGATTTAAATTCTTCTCAATTCAATTCTACATTAGAACCCGTTCGTAAAGTTTTGAAAGATGCAAAAATGGAAAAGAAAGATATAAATGAAATTGTTCTTGTTGGTGGTTCTACTCGTATTCCAAAAATAACATCATTACTTCAAGATTTTTTTGACGGAAAAGAATTGAATAAATCAATTAATCCGGATGAAGCTGTTGCTTATGGAGCCGCTGTACAAGCTGCTCTTTTAACAAATCAAGCTGATAACGAAAAAACCCAAGACCTCTTACTTTTAGATGTAGTACCACTTAGTTTAGGTGTCGAGACTCAAGGTGGAGTTATGGCAGTAGTCGTACCTCGAAATACACCTATTCCAACTATAAAGAAAAAAATTTTTACAACAGCGGAAGATGGTCAAACTATCGTTGAATTTCCTGTTTATGAAGGAGAAAGACCAATGTGTCATGATAATAATTTATTAGGAGCTTTTGAATTGTCAGGAATACCTCCAATGCCTCGTGGAGAAGCTGAACTTGAGTGTACCTTTGATATTAATGCTGATGGTATTCTTAAAGTCACAGCAAAGGATAAAGCAACTGGACGTAAAGCTAATATTACAATCTCAAATTCGGCTGGGCGATTATCAGCTGCTGATATCGAACGTATGGTTGCGGAATCAGAAAAATTCAAGGAGGAAGATCAAAAGAGTCAAGAACGTGTAGAAGCGAAGCAAGAACTTGAAAATTATGTTTATCAAGTATGTATATAATTATATATTTTTATTTTTCTCATTATAATTGATTTTTTTTCTCTTCTTTTGTTTAGATTGATAACACCCTTAATGAACCAAGTGTCGCGTTGAAATTGAAACGTAATGATAAAGAATCCATTGAGAATGCTCTTTCAGGTTTTAATTCTTTTTGACTTTATTATGAAATTTTTAATGTTTTTATTTATATTAATTATTCTGGCATCTTTTATAGAGGCACATGAATTCCTTGATAATGCCAATAGTTCGGCAATCACTAAGGAAGATATTAATGCTACAAAAAAGAAATTACAACGTAGCGTTACCCGCGCGTTCGCTTCACTTAATCGTTAAATATTTTTCTCCAAGTTCCCTCTTATATAATGAAAAACAAATGTATTTTTCTATTGTAAAATGAAATTATGTATATTTTCATTCTAAAAAAACATATAATCTCTTTAAATACATTTCATCAAAGGCTTCCATTTGCAAAGCCGAACAATTGATTTTGGGGTATATAGACATAATGCATAATATTATAATATATAGATCAATATTTTATTGGTTAACAAATAAAAAATTGAACTTAAAATTATTTTATTTGAAAAATAAATAATAGTATTAAAGATTTATAAACGTTCATGTTATCAAATATAATAAAATTTGATAAATTATATACTAAAGATAGACATTTCATAATTTCTAAATGGAGAAATAATTATTCAGTACTAGTAATTATTACAATTAATAATTTTATTCAAAACCTATTTTAATGTGTAGCTTAAAAATTTAGAAACTTTTCAAAACCTATTAATGCAATTTAATACATTGAATTCATCTAAGTTGCAAGAATTTGAATAGTAGCGTTTTATAGGAATTAAAGTAATATTAAATAAGATAATTTGTTTTATTTTTTTATTTTTTATATATAAAGTATATAAAAATCATATAATATATAACATTATTTTGACTACTCTAATTTTTATTTTAACTTATAATCTCCAAAATTGAAATATTTAATTTTGGAATTTTAGCATACAGTCACACCTCGATATAACGAAGTTGCCGATCCAGCTGATCAGGATTTCGTTATAAGAATCTTCGTTATAGCGTTAACGAATTATTCGTTATAGTAGATGATTACTGATTTCATTACACAAAT